TTCATCAATTTATTCAACAATTACCTCAAGTTAGATTAATATTAAATTGTTTACTAATATTATCTTATATTTTCATATAGGGTTATGAAACAAAAGTTGGAGTGAAAGGTAGTTTTTTATCGGGTGGTGAAAAACAACGTATTGCTATTGCTCGAGTTCTTATTCGTCGACCTAAAATATTATTGTTAGATGAAGCTACAAGTGCTATGGATCCATACAATGAACAAGTAGATTTATATTCTTTTATATATATATATATGATTAAAATTTTCATCTTAATATTTTTAATTTGCAGATAATACAAGAAACTCTTGATCAAGCTCAAATAGAAGATCCTAATCGAACATCAATTATTATTGCACATCGTCTTTCAACAATACGTTCATGTGATTTAATATATGTAATTGAAATGGGTCGTATAGCTGAAAGTGGTACTCATACAGAATTAATACAAAAACGTGGAATTTATTATAAAATGTTAAATACTCAAAATAAAGTACAATAATTATTATTAAATTATTTCATTAAAAACAAATAAATATTTTTACATTTATAGCCATGAAAGTGTTTTTACTAATTATCTTTTTTTTCTAATATATATGAAATTAACTTTGAACCCAGTTATATTTTACTTTATAAAAAATTTCAATCATCATCTTTTTTTTTTGTATAAAAAGCGACGTATTTTAATGAAATAAATAAGAGAAGAGAAATTGTGAAAATATCAAAACAATATTTTATTCTATATCATAAGTTCACAATATCCATTGATTAAATCTAAACTATTGACTAATCTTATATTATTATTTTGTCATAAAGAAATAATATATATACTAAAAACTTCATCACTTCTTTCTCTCTTTCTCTCTCTCTTTCTTTCTTTCTTTCTCTCTCTCCCTTATTTCTATACTTTATTAAACGATTATATATAATCATGTGAAGATAAGCGAGACGTATGTATAATGATATCCTTGAGTTATAAACAAATATTCTTTCTTCTTCATTTTCTATCGGGAAGGAAAGAGAACAACTATTA